TTTTTTTTAAATATTTATTTATTATGTATACAATATTCTGTGTGCATGCCCAAAGACCAGAAGAGGGCGCCAGACCTCTCTACAGATGGCTGTGAGCCACCATGTGGTTGCTGGGAATTGAACTCAGGACCTTTGGAAGAGCAGGCAACGCTCTTAACCACTGAGCCATCTCTCCAGCCCCCTTGGGAACACAATCTTAAGCAGAGAGGTTTAATCTCTGTCCAGATAATCTCAACACCCAACGAAAAGCTAAGGCAGGTGCTATAAAGCCTATGCCTACTCAGCCAGCAGAGGTGGGCTGAAAGTTCAAGGCTATAAAGTGAGTTCAGTGACAACCAGGGCAATTTAGTGAGGCCCCTCCTTGTCTCAAATAAAAAGTAAAAATTGGCTTGGTATCTATATTTCAGTGACAGAGTGCTTGTCTAGACCCCACTTGTGAAAGGTTGAGGTGTGGCTCAGCAGTGGAAAAATTACCTAGAATCCCCCAGTGAGGGGCTGGGGTGTGGCTCAGAAGAAGAGCCCCTGCCTAGAATCCCCCAGTGAGGGGCTGGGGTGTGGCTCAGTGATAGAGATTCTGCCTAGAATCCCCCAGTGAGGGGCTGGAGTGTGGCTCAGTGGTAGAGCCCCTGCCTAGAATCCCCCAGAGGGGCTAGAGACATGGCTCAGCAATAAAGATCTTGCCTGGTGTGCACAAAGCCCTGTGTTTAATCCCTAGCAGTGAAAAAAAATCCAATGAAGAGATAAAGATATCCCTAGCAAATGATGCAACAGAGAAAACTGGACCAGCTGGGAGGATGGAAAAGCAAAGGGAACTATGGAGGAAAAGAAGAAACCCAGGCCAGCATGGGAAGAGGCTTTGGGGGGCTTTTGAAGGGGTCTGTCTCTGAACCAAGTGGGATGAACAGAAACAAGGAGCTGAAGTATGTGAGGGACTTTGTGTGACCTGCAAACTACAGAAGGGATGGCGTAGTCCATCTGTGGAGACACATGGCAGCAGTCGTGTGGCTCTTCTTGCTCCCTATGTGTGGATCAGGAAGCAGAGAAAGGGGAACTCGGGGTTTGGCTGGCTTTTTCCTTTCCCCCTTTTTTAGTCAGTCCAGGACCCTAGTCCCTGGGAGACTGCTGTGGATCTTCTGGAAGTCCTTTTGGGAAATGCCCTCATAGGCATACCCAGAAGGCTCTGGGCAGTTGCTTTAGGAGGCTCTTCCTCAGAGTTTGGAGCATCGCGGATCAGTTTTAACCAAGAAAGTGTCTGAAATCCCCCTAGGGATGTCGTGTGAAAGTGCTGAGGAGTGGAAGGGTTGGGGAGCAGGAGAGGGCAGGGCTGGACTGAGTGGGAAGAGAGGGGTGAGAGACAAGCCCCCAAGAGCCCTGTGAGTAAGCTGTGAGGCTGCCTGCTGGTAGAGTGTGTTTGATGCAGTCTGAGACAAGCTGAGGGTGAAAAGCAATCGCCTGTCCCCACCTGTCCTGCCGCTGAAGGGACACCTGGAAGGGGCCATGTTATGAAACAAAGGATACAGAATTGACCAGAGGGAGCCATAGCCAAAGTGAAGCTGGGCATGGTGGCTCACACCTGTAACTACAGCACTTAGAGGCCGAGGCAGGAGGATCTCTGCGTCTCCGGTCAGACTAGCTTACTAAATAATAGCGACTAAAAATATAATTTGGCTGGGTGGTGGCACATGGGAGGCAGGAGCAGGTGGATCGCTGTGAATTCAAGGCCAGCCTAGCCTACAAATTGAGTTTCAGGACTGCCAGAGCTACACAGAGAATGCCTATTTTGGAAAACAAAGCAAAATAAAATGGAAGAAAGAAAGAAAGCCAACCAAATCCATATGCATAGTATAATATACATACTGATTGTGTTATCATCTAGATTTTAAAGTCCTGGACTAGCACTCATAGGGCTCTAGGTTTGGTGTAATAGGACACACAATCCTAGCCCTTGGGAGGTGGAGGCAGGAGAATCCAGAGTTCCAGTCATCCTGAGTTACCTGAAACCGTATCTTGTCCCCAGCCCCCTAAGTGTTCTGTCCTGTTCTGCTGCTGGCTGGTACCCTCTGAGCCTGTTTCCCCATCACTGACTTGGGAGAATAGGAGACGTAACCTACGTCTGACTAAAGCCCCTTGCTTCTTCAGGCACATTCCCAGGCTCACAGCCCCAAGCACCTGCCAGCCCCAATCTTATAGCGAGGCCTCAGCCCCCACCCCAACCTCGAAGACCCAGCCCTCCCAGGCAGGGACCTGTGAGCAGTGGGCGTCGCGAGTGCTACTTTGACACAGCGGCTCCAGATGCATGTGACAATATCTTGGCTCGAAATGTGACGTGGCAGGAGTGTTGCTGTACTGTGGGTGAAGGCTGGGGCAGTGGCTGCCGTATCCAACAGTGCCCGGGCACTGAGACAGGTGGGCATGCGCTGTGGGGAGACACAGGGCCCGGGCACTGAGATGGGCAGGCATGCGCTGTGGGGAGACGCAGGGCCCGGGCACTGAGACGGGTGGGCATGCGCTGTGGGGAGACACAGGGCCCGGGCACTGAGACGGGTGGGCATGCGCTGTGGGGAGACACAGGGCCCGGGCACTGAGAAAGGAGGGCATGCGCTGTGGGGAGACGCAGGGCCCGGGCACTGAGACGGGTGGGCATGCGCTGTGGGGAGACACAGGGCCCGGGAACTGAGATGGGAGGGCATGGGCTGTGCTGAGACACAGGGCCTGGGATATGGGAGCTGGAAAAGGGATATTAGGTCTAGGGTTGAGTTACTGGATCTTCCAGGAAGGTGGGCACCAGCGAGGGTAAAGCTGAGAAGTGGGCACTAACTGACCTGGGCTTTAGGACTTGGTAGGGGACTAGAGTCAGCGGGCTCGGGCAAGGACTGGGACTTGAGTTTCTGGGTTCATCCTTGCTTCTGTGTGCAGCTGAGTACCAGTCATTGTGTCCTCATGGTCGGGGCTACCTGGTGCCCAGTGGAGACCTGAGCGCCCGGAGAGGTAAGGCCAGACTTCAACCGCTACCACCTTCAACCCCTAGGCCCATCTCTGTCTCACCCTGCCTGTTTCTTTCCTTTCCTTTCTTCCCTCCCTCCCTCCCTCCCTCCCTCCCTCCCTCCCTCCCTCCCTCCCTTCCTTCCTAGAGTGGATCCCACTAGTAGTCCAGATTGGCCTCAAATTTGCAAGCCCCCCAATTTCTCTTTCTTCCTTCTTTTCTCTTTCTTTCATCTATTCTTTTTTCCTTCCTTTCTTTTCTTTCCTCCTCCTTTTTTCTTTTTGATCTTTCTTCTTCTACTACTTCTTTCTCTTCCTCCTCCTCCTCCTTCTTGAGATAGAGTTTCTCTGTCTAACCCTGACTGTCGGGGAACTCACTCTGTATGTACACCAGGCAGGCCCCAGGCCTCAGACTTACAGAGACCCATCTGCTTTTATCTCCTGAGTGCTGGGATCAAAGGTGTGTGCCCCCATGGCCCAGTGTGTCTTTCTTTTCTTTTCTCCTTTTTAATTTGTGTTTTTTTGAGTACAGGGTCAGGTAGCCCAGGCTAACCAAGAAGTTGCTAAGCAGCAAAGGCTAACCTTGAACTCTTATTCTTCTGACTTTCACCTCTTGACTACTGGGATTGCGTGTGTGCTTCAACATACCTGGCTTCATCTTCTGCCTCTCAGTTTGATTCTCTTTAGAATTTTCTGCCTCAGCCTCTCCTCTGGTCCCAGTTCTCCTTGTCGCACCTTCTGGGTGCCATTGCTATCTTCTTCTGTCGTGACTGGCCATCCCATCCTCCCCTCGTTTCTCCTAGATCACGCGCACGCGCGCTCATATCTCTCCACCTTTTCCTTCAGATGTGGATGAATGCCAGCTCTTCCAGGACCAGGTGTGCAAGAGCGGAGTGTGTGTGAACACCGCCCCGGGCTACTCTTGCTATTGCAGCAACGGCTTCTACTATCACGCACAGCGGCTGGAGTGCGTTGGTATGAACCCCACCTTCCCCCACCCCCAGCTCTGGCCGTGCCAGTCCCAAATAGGAATGTGGCTATCCCAGCAGGAAGTCCTTCTGAAGTCTAGACTGCATCCATCACTCTTGTCAGTGAGCTGGGGAAATGTGAAACGGAGTTCAACCTGGTAACCGCCTCATTCCCCCATCCCATACCGTCCTAGATAATGACGAATGTGCCGACGAGGAGCCCGCTTGTGAAGGTGGCCGCTGCGTTAACACGGTGGGCTCTTACCACTGCACCTGCGAGCCCCCACTGGTGCTGGACGGCTCCCGGCGCCGCTGCGTCTCCAACGAGAGCCAGAGCCTCGGTAACCCCGCCCACAGACCCGCCCAGCCCCACCCCCGACTCCCAGCCGCTAGATCCCTAGGCCACGCCTTCTTGAAGGCCACGCCCCTAGTGCCTAGATGAGTTCAGGGTGAGGCTTCTGCTTGTTTTTTTGAGGCTGTGTTTCAGTATGTAGCCCGGCCTGGCCTGGATCTCACAGACACCCGCCTTCTTCTTCCTCCAGAGCGCTGGCATTAAAGCCGTGAGCCACAATGCCTCTGGCCCACACTGTTTTGCTTTTGATTTTTTTCCCCCCAAATTATTATTTTGTAGTATATGCTGATCTGGAACGCATACAAATCTCCCTGCCTTGGCTTTCTAATTGCTGGGATTACCGGGATGAGAGGACAGGGGTTACTTCTCTTTCGGGGTAACCTGACCTGGTGGTTGAAGGTGAAAGTTTCAGTGCGGGTCTTTCATTTTCTTGCTCTGTATACCCGCACACATTTCTTCGGCCCCAGGTTCCTCTCATTTTTTTACATGCAGAGTCTCACTATGTAGTCCAGGCTAGCCCAAACTCAGATTAACTCTTGCCTCAGCCTTTTGGTTTCTGGATTTACAGGCCTGCTCTACTACAGGTCTCTCTCTCTCTCTCTCTCTCTCTCTCTCTCTCTCTCTCTCTCTCCACCTATCTTAAGTCTCTTTGTCTCTCATACAGTCTGTGTTTCTCCCCTGCTTTGCCTTGGTCCATGGGCCCAAATTCTCTTTTCCTGTTTCTGTTCCTACAAAAATTCCTGAATTTTGAGGCTTCATTTAAACAATGATCAGGGTGCAGGGTGTGGTGGGCGCACCTGTGGTCCTAGCTGCACAAGAGATGGATGAACCACAAGTTCTGGGCCAGCCTGAGCTACATAGAGAGACCACCTCAAAGATGAAAACACAAACAAAAGCAAGCAAACAAAAAAATCCACCCACACACTAATGTCCAGGGAAGTAAAACAACGGCCCCCATTTCACAGAACCCTCTGGAGGCTGGACTCGGGTCTGTGTGGGATAGCCCAAGTCCCAGTCTGCCCTGACACATCCTGTCATTGCCCGTAGATGACAATCTGGGAGTGTGCTGGCAGGAAGTGGGGCCTGATCTTGTTTGCAGTCGCCCGCGACTAGACCGGCAGGCCACCTACACAGAGTGCTGCTGTCTCTACGGAGAAGCCTGGGGCATGGACTGCGCTCTCTGTCCTGCCCAGGACTCAGGTATTGTACATCTCTACACTGCCCCCAGAGGACCTCTTGGCGTCTGTACATCTGTTGCAGCCGGTCCCAAAATCAACAGTAATCTCAAGGCCTGAATCACCCACTCCCACAGCTCTGAAATCTCTCACCTTAAATGCCTGGTTTCTAGATCACCCCCCCACCACCGCCAAGACACACCCTGTGAGACACCCCACTCCAGACACCCCGGGGCCCTTACATCCCAGGAGCAGTTGCCCACACACATCCTGCCCTTCAGACTCTGCTCATAGCCCTAACAGCTGCTGATGGCCATTGCCTTGGGCATCCCCACACCAGATTATCAAGATTCCAACACAGCCCCAAAGATCTCTGGTCCCCTCCTACTAACTCCTTAAAAATATGAGCCCCAAACCCCAGGCTCGCTTCCTCCAAATCCCAGAGATTCAAGCTCCCTCCAGGCACCTTTGGCTCTAAGTCCCAGTGTTCAGCCAGCCCATTGATTCTATAGCCATAAAACACCTTCCTCTCATTTCTTCAGGTTCCTCGCCCAAGCTCCCATGATTTCCCAAATTCCAGAACCTTAGTCCCTGGACCGTAGCTGCAGTCTAAGGATGCTGGAACCCAGGATCTCGGAATCCTAGAATTAGTCTGGAACTATCCGAAGCTCTCCCAGAGCTTTTCCTCTGTTGCTGGGGGAAGGGTATATGAACAGAGGGTACTGACCGTGCTATATCTTGGCTCCTGTTCGCAGATGATTTCGAGGCCCTTTGCAATGTGCTGCGCCCCCCTGCATATGGCCCGCCGCGCCCAGGCGGCTTTGGACTCCCGTACGAATATGGCCCAGATATAGGCCCACCTTACCAGAGTCTCCCTTATGGCCCAGACCTATATTCACCACCTGTGCTACCCTATGACCCCTACCCACCCCCTCCTGGACCCTTTGCTCGTCGGGAGGCCCCTTATGGCGCCCCACCCTTCGACATGCCAGACTTTGAGGATGATGGTGGTCCCTATGGTGAGTCGGAGGCTCCGGCCCCACCCAGCCGAGGCACTGGCTGGACATATCGATCCAGAGACACCCGTGGTTCCTTCCCAGAGCCTGAGGAGTCCTCTGAGCGTGGAGGCTATACAGGTGAGTAGTGCCGCCAAAGATACCAAGCAGACAGACAGACAAACACAAGGGGGAGGAGATGCAGAGAGAGAGAAGGCAGAAGGTGAGTCAGGTTCAGAAATGCATAAGAGCAACTGATGGTGATTCATGCCTGTAATCCCAGCATTAGAGAGGCAGAGGCAGGAGGATTGCTGCAAGTTTGAGGTCATCCTGGAATGCATAGTAACACCTAGGGTCTCAGCACAGCGCACCCTGCAGTCTTGGAGCGGGAAGGCAGATTAGGATGAGACCCACACAGCCAGGGAAGCCAAGAACCAAAAGGAAGAAAGAGACAAAGGACCTAAGGCAGAGCTCTCCTGGTCATAGCACCTTGTGTTCTCTGCAGGAGCCTTGGCTGAGCCCTATGAAGGCCTGGAGGCTGAGGAGTGCGGGATCCTGGATGGCTGCGCCCATGGCCGCTGTGTGCGCGTTCCCGAAGGCTTTACCTGCGACTGTTTCGATGGCTACCGTCTGGACATCACCCGCATGTCCTGTGTCGGTGAGGAAGGGGAGCAGAGGGAAGAGTAGTTTGACCAGAGGGTGATCGGGAACCTCATTATAGACAGGAACCAGGCCATCCTAGGAAGAATAAATTTATTCTTGCTGGGGGTGGGGCTTGACTGAAGATGACGTCAGAGTGGGACTCCTGTACATGGCAGAGCTGAGGTTGGGAATATGTGGGCTTTGTTTATTTATTTGTTTTTATTTATTATTTATTTTGCTGTTCTGAGGGTGGAACCAGAGTTTGATGCTGTCTAAGCAGATGCTCTACCACTGAGCCAGGCCCCAGCCCCTCACTGGGGGATTCTAGGCAGGGCTCTACCACTGAGCCACACCCCAGCCCCTCACTGGGGGATTCTAAACAGGGCTCTCCCACTGAGCCACACCCCAGCCCCTCACTGGGGGATTCTAAACAGGGCTCTCCCACTGAGCCACACCCCAGCCCCTCACTGAGGGATTCTAGGCAGGTGCTATGGCTCACTGATCCATACCCCAGCTCCTGCAGATGAGGCTCTGAGAACTGTCCATGCTACCTTGGACAATCTTCCTGATCTCTTTGCAAAACCTCAGCCTTCCCACATGATTGGGGTAGTAATCATGTCTGCCTGTACGGGGGGAAAAGGCAAGTGCTTGCAACCAGGAGCTGTGAGGGGATCCGAGACCCCCGTCTCAGTCTATCAGTTTGTTCTGTGGCCTGAAACTGGGCACTGTGCCTTGCTTAGCTTTCCTCATCTGGAGAAACAAAACAAAACAAAAATCCCACAAAAAAACACAGTGAGAGAGCCCGCTTCATAAAGTTCCTGTGAATGTCAGTGACGTCGAACACCCTGTGTATATGTTGGGGATCAGGGCTGCATAGATGCCCCGGTGGCCAAGAGGGCTCCTGTTCTTCAGATGACCATAATTTGGTTCCCAAAACCCACATTAGAGACCAGGCAGTGGTGGCGCACACCTTTAATTCCAGTACTCGGGAGGTAGAGGCAGGCGGATCTCTGTGAGTTCGAGGCCAGCCTGGTCTACAAGAGCTAATTCCAGAACAGGCCCCAAAAGCTACAGAGAAACCTTGTCTCAAAAAAAACAAACAAAACAAACAAACAAACCCCACACAAGACACTCACTACCACTTGTAATTCCAGCTCCAGGGGATCCAACACCCCCTTCTGGCCTCTGTGGGTACTGCATACAGGTGGCATACACATTTGTAAAAAATAACACATTAAAAAAAATTTAAAGAGGCTCAGAAAAGTGGACTGAGTTCCCCAAGGTCTCACAGGAGAAATAGCAGCGTGCTGGGCACCCAACACTAGGAGAATGAGATCTGTACGATGTGTGGCTTCCAGCGAGGCGCGGAGCAAGTGCGCCTGTGCTGGGCCACAGTTAGCATCTGTATAGCACAGAGGCGCAGTACCTGCCTCATGGGCTTATGAGGGAGATAGAATTAGTACAGGTTCCACGCTCACAGGGATGACTGATATGTAGGTATTTACGACTGTCCACAGCGATATTTTCTTTACTATTGTTTGTGTGCATGCGGTGTCACACATGTGGAGGTCAGGGTACAACTCTGTAGCATCGGGTCTTCCTTTCCACCTTTACCTGGGTTTCGAGGATCAACCTCAGATCATCAGGCTTGCACGGAAAGCCCTTTATCCCCATGACCCATCTCACAGGCCAAAACACAGGGCTATTTAAACGGCCTGCCTGGGCTCACACAGCCAGCCCGTAGCAAGTGATATGTTGCATTCCGTAGGAGAGGCTTAAGGTCCGTGATTCTCTACCTCAAAAAAACATGGAGATGGGCTTCTCTTCTTTTTACCCCTTCCCTCAGACATCAACGAGTGTGACGAGGCTGAGGCAACCTCCCCGCTCTGTGTCAATGCACGCTGTGTCAACACCGATGGCTCCTTCCGCTGTGTCTGCCGTCCAGGATTTGCACCCACACACCAGCCACATCACTGTGCGCCTGCGCGACCCCGAGCCTGAGCACCTGCACTTGGCGCCCCATTATGCCTGCGCTCTGGGAGCTTCCGGAGCACGCCTGGCTCCCTCTAGTCCGCGAGTGTGCAAGGATGTCCGCCAGTCTGGACTTAGGATGGACAGACACAGAGGGGTGCCTTTCGCTGCTCTCGTCATTCCCAGCCCCTCCCACTAGCGCTTTGGGCCTGGCGTGGTCCAGTCCTGTGTCCCCTGTCACATTCCTTTCCTTTTATAAAAATTTCAATTAAAACACCTATTTTGTATTTTTGGCCTCTGCCTGCCCTTTTCTTTTTCCCAAAAGTTGGCTTCACAGTTTGCTGAGTCACTCAGCCACCCAAGAAAGCACCATTCCAGACGCCAAGATTGACTCTTACTTTCCATGACTCTCACCAAGTCTGGCCTTGTCCCTCTTGGCCCTCCTGTCTCAGTTTCTCTCTCTTGCCCGTCTTCTCTGGGCAACTTCCCATCTTTCTGTCTTTCCATCTCTTCTTTTCTATCATGCTCTTTCTAATCTTCAGAGTTGCGGGGAGTTTTTGTTATTTTGTTTGTTTGTTTTTTCTTCTAAGAGGTTGTTATGTAGCCTAACCCCGTCTCGAATTCCTCCGTCTCCCAGCATCTACGGTTATGGCTGTACACACCAGGCCTAGCATGGAGGAGGAGGCTGTGCTCTATTCCCTCCAGGAGCCAGGACCATGAACACAAACTATCACAGGTAAGAAGGGGTGTCAGTACTCGGAGGCTCAAGACTCCTTGTCTACAGTGGGGCCAGCATCACATGGTTTTACTATTGAATTGTACACTTCAAATGGTGGGGGTCTGTGAATTATAATTCAATGAAGCTGAAAAAAAAAACAAAATTTAAAAATAGTGAGGGGCTTAGAAAATGGCACAGTGGTAGAATGCTTGCTGAGATTTCAGCAATGAAGAGCTGTGAAGCCCCTGCCTAGAATCCCCCAGTGAGGGGCTGGGGTGTGGCTCAGTGGTAGAGCCCCTGCCTAGAATCCCCCAGTGAGGGGCTGGGGTGTAGCTCAGTGGTAGAGCCCCTGCCTAGAATCCCCCAGTGAGGGGCTGGGGTGTGGCTCAGTGGTAGAGCCCCTGCCTAGAATCCCCCAGTGAGGGGCTGGGGTGTGGCTCAACGGTAGAGCACCTGCCTAGCTTCCGAAGGCCCTAAGTTCCCCTTCAGTACTACCAAGAGGGGGTTAAAAAAGAAGAAAAGAAAAAGAAAGTAACCTGTTCAAAGTTGGTTGGGAACTTACTCCTCCACCCCCCAGCTGAGAGCAGAGGAGCCAACCCAAACACTAACCTCATTCATTGAATCCATAAATATTTCCGTAGAATCTGGATGTGAGTTGAGAACCCAGACAAACTTTAGCTCAGTATGATGGCTGGCCGTTCGGCTGGGTTCCTGAAGGGCTGAGACCGGCAGCAGGTTTGTGAGGGCCTAGAGGCTAGAATGGCGGTGGGTTTTAGGTGCCCTTTTGGTATGTCATTCAGTTCTGTGTTGGACAGTGCTGGTGACATTTTAGGTATGGGAATAGGGAGGAAGAGAGAGGCTTGGAATTTTGGATCCCTTTTGGGAATCTTTGGAAATATCTGGATAGTTGGATAGTTCAAAAGGAAATACAAACAAACAAGCAAACAAAATGTCATCAGGACAGTGGTGGTGCAGGCCTTTCATCCCAGCACTCAGGAGGCGGAAGCAGATATATCTCTGTGAGTTCAAGATTAGCCAACCAGAGCTATACAGAGAAGCCTGTCTCCAAAACCAAAAAGAAAAGAAAAAAAAAAGAAAGGAAGGAAGGAAAAAGGAAATGTAAATGCACTTGCCGCCAAGCCTGAGAACTTGGCTTCAAACTCCTGAACCCATAATGATAGGAGCAACATGCCTTTGTTACACACAGAGACAGTGTTTTCTTTTAAATTCATGCCCAGGAAGAGTTGACCAACACAGAACAGATTCCATATTTTTAGTTTTTTGTTTTGTTTGTTTGGATTTTTGGGGTTTTTTTGTTTGTTTTTGGTGAGTTTTTTGTTTCATTTTGGTAGGTTTTTTTTTTTTTTTTGGTTTTTCGAGACAGGGTTTCTCTGCAGCTTTGGTGCCTGTCCTGGAACTAGCTCTTGTAGACCAGGCTGGCTTCAAAGTCCCAGAGATCCGCCTGCCTCTGCCTCCCAAGTGCTGGGATTAAAGGCGTGCGCCACCACCACCCGGCTCATTTTGGTAGTTTTTAATCTTACGGGTTTTTATGTTTTTTGTTTGTTTGTTTTAGAGAGAGAGAGGGAGAGAGACAGAGGTGAAATTGGGCAGGCAGAGGTGGGGAAGATCCGGGAGGAGTTGGGGGGAAGGGAAAATATGATGAAAATATATTTTAAAAAATATATATAAATTTTTGGGAAAAAATCCATTGTAGGTGTGGACAATTCACAGATACTCCTGTTGTCCCCCACCTCAGCCACTTTGCTGGACAGGTGTCGCAGGAGGGGACCGGGAACGGGGAAGCCATCAGTGCTGGAGGGCTCTGTCACCACACACACCCTCTCATCCCCCTCTGTGCCTGGAGGCTCAGCAAAGAATCTAGTTTTGTTTTCTTTTGTTTCATTCCTACATCCCCCCCCCCCCACATTAGTCCCCAGCCCTGGCTCTGGGGGTTTTTGGCGCTGACCAGGATCAATGCGTTCTCTTCTGGAATGTCCAAAAAAATAAACCAGTTTGTCAGTGACCTGCACCGCAGCACCTCCTGAGTGTCACCACGTGCCGGTGCGGCCAAAGCTAGGCGCGCCCCCTAGTGGCCAGTGCTCAGATCGTCTCCCTGGGAAGTTGTCATCACCTTCAACAGCTATGCATAAACAGTGTTCTGAAAGAGGGTTATGGTACTATTATCCATTTGTAACCCAGCATTCAGGAGTTTGGGGAGATTGGCTCAGAAAAATTGCCTGGCATATTAAAGTACGCTAGGCAGCTGGACGGTGGTGGGCACATGCCTTTAATCCCAGCACTCCAGAGGCAGAGGCAAGCGGATCTCTGTGAGTTCAGGGCCAGTCTGGTCTATGAAGCGAGTCCCAGGACAGCCAAAACTGTAACACAGAGAAACCTTGTCTCTAAAAACAAAAAAGAAAAAAACCAGAAAAGAAAAATAAAGGAAGGAAGAAAAGGAAGTAAGTGCCCTAGGCTATGCACTGAGTTCCAGGCGACCTGAGCTACAGTATGAGACCCTGTCCACTCCCTTCCCATCGAAAAGCAAGCAAACAAACATAAACCAACACATGAATACTTGGCACAAAGACAGAACTGTAGACCCAACTGCTTAGGAGGCTGAAGCAGGAGGATCATTTGAACCTCAGAGTTTAGGACTAGTGTGGGTTACACAGCAAAACTTCACCTTACAGAACTGAGTCTCAAAATAGACAGAGCTTGGGTCCCTGGCTGTCTACACTGCTAGCTGAGTCATTCAACCTGGGTATTGCCATAGGAGTTAACTGTTTTTTTATTTTTCTTTTTGTTTTTTGAAGACAGGGTTTCTCTGTGTAGCTCTGGCTGCCCTGGAAGGGAACTAACTTTTTTGGGGGGTGGGGGTCAAGACAGAGTTTCTCTGTAGCTTTGGAGCCTGTCCTTGAACTAGCTCTTGTAGACCAGGCTGGTCTCGAACTCACAGAGATCCGCCTGCCTCTGCCTCCAGAGTGCTGGAATTAAAGGTGTGCACTGCCACCACTCGGCAGGGAACTAAAGTTTTAATGAACATTTTGTAATGTCCTTGTTGCAGTCACTTAGGCTATATTCTATTCTTAAAAATGATTCATCTTTATTTTTACTTTATGTGTTTGTGTGGGTGTCACATGTGTGTCCCATGGAACCCCCCGATGTTGACGTTACAGCTGGTTGTGGACCACCTGATGTGGGTCCTGGGAAAAAAGCCGACGTCTTCAGGGAGAGAAGTATGTGCTCTTACAACGGAGCCCTTTCTCCAGCCATAACCATTAGAGGTAATGATCTAAATGAATGCACAGCAATCTCCCGGACAGGCCGTGGGGCTTCAAATGTGTTCCTAGGAACTGCACTTCATCCCCCCCACCTCCACATGGTGGGCTCGGACACAGGAGAGTAGGCAGCAAGCACTGTATTGCGGAGTTATAGACCCAGCACAATATATCCCCTACCAGAATACCGCTATGGGACCCTGACTTGCTGTGGGATATTTGATTACACTGTGTGAGGATGTGTCACTGTGATTGGTTTAATAAAAAGCTGAATGGGGCTGGAGAGATGGCTCAGAGGTTAAGAGCATTGCCTGCTCTTTCAAAGGTCCTGAGTTCAATTCCTGGCAACCACATGGTGGCTCACAACCATCTGTAATGGGGTCTGGTGCCCTCTTCTGGCCTGCAGGCATACACACAGACAAAATATTGTATACATAATAAATAAATAAATATTAAAAAAAAAAAAAGCTGAATGGCCCATAGCTAGGCAGGAGAAGTTAGGCGGGACTTCTGGACAGAGAGGAACTCAGGGTTAGAATCTAGGCACACAGGAGACGCCAGTGAGACAACGAGGGAGTTGGACGTACAGGTGGAGGAGAGGTAAAAAGCCACATGGTAGATAGACCATAGATGAACAGAAACACGTCGATTTAAGTTGTAAGCACTAGTGGGACAAACTTAAGCTAAAGTCAGGCTTTTATAATTAATAGTAAGTCTCCGTGTCATTTGGGGACTGGCAGCTTAAAAGAAGGTTCCACAAGAAAGTCAAACTACACTGCCTAGCCTGGAACTGTCCGTATATACCAGGCTGGCCTTGAACTCACAGAGATCCTCTTGCCTCTGCCTCCCAAGTGGCTAGGACTGTAGAGCTAGGCTGGAATTAAAGACAGGCACCACCACTCACTGCCTGCCTAATCTTAGGGGCTGACGGGGCTGCAGATGTAGCTCAGTCACAGAGGGTTTGCCTGGGGTGCAGGGAGTACTGTGTTTGGTTATCGGGATGACACAAACTAGAGCTGGCTCACGCCGACGGGGGATTGGAAAGTCAGGATCACACTGAGTTAGAAGTGAGCCTGAGTTAGAGGACTGTCGCAAAAACTGAAGAGAGGGACCAGCAAAATGGCTCAGTGGGTAAAGGGGCTTGCCACCAAGCCTGATGACCTGAACTCTATCCTAGGATGTGCATGGTGCTCCCTAATACATAAATAAAATGTAATGACAATAAATAAAAAGCCGGGCGGTGGTGGCGCACACCTTTAATCCCAGCACTCCGAGCCAGAGGCAGGCAGAT